TGGCCATTACCTTGAGTTTTATATGGGGGTGTTCTACTTATGGCTACTTCTTGCTCTTGTAGGAATCACCATATGCGTTTAGATATAAATAAAGCCCCTCTGTCAGAATGAATATACACTGGTAGACTGAAAATGGCAAAAACTGAGGAAAGAGCTTGTATGACTGCTGTAGAGGATATATCAAGGCAGGGTATTATGAAAGGAAACTGTGAATATTTGTTAATTATTCTCAGCATATATTTATTAGGAGTTTTGATGGAAGCAATCCTTTAAAATCCAATGCAATTCTCTCATAGGGTTGTGTGGCTTTTTATGATTTTGTTGGTGTTAGGACAGTAAAACCTAGGTTTATTTTCAGTACAAGTTTTACGATTTGGTGATTTCTTTCACATTCTCTACTGAGTAGGGAAAGATTGTTGATTTTCATCATGTGAACCATGAGTGTAACACCTCAGTGGTACAATTCTCTATGTGGTTTCTTTAACTCTTCTTTGCAAGCAGCTGAACTACATACACGAGTGAGAGAGAGAGAGTATTCACAACTGTTTTCTTTATTGGGGCAAGTACATTGTGTCAAATGAGTAACATGAGAGTTCCATTCTCCACCTGGCTATCTTCTTATTTTGCTTGTTGTTTCGGGTTGAACATGAATGAGACTGATTTTTGGTCCATAATTAGTTCAATATGTCGCCCGATCAAATAATGGCTCAGTGATTTGACAATAACATCTTTCTCTATTGCAGAATGCCTACATTCTGATTTAGACAGGGTTCTGTAGAAAAAGGTTATGGGCCTCTCTGACCATCTTAAAGAGGTGGCTATGGTGCATTCTGAGGTGTCACTACTACCAGAGGTAGTGCATGATCAATAATGGCTCGTTCACTATTTCTCTCTTTAATTTGTTAAACACTTTCTCTGCTATGGGAGATAATGGGAAGTTTGATACTGTTGTTAGTGGGTCGATATCCAATGTGCATAGTATGCAAACATTCCTAATGCACAGCTCAGAGCGAGTAAATCTTTTGGGACCAGTAAGCTGAGTAATGGATTCAGACGTTCTGGATCAGGTTTTATTATGTACCCAAATCATTTTATATTTTTACTTCTAAAATAACATTTGCTTTGGTTAAGCATAAGTTTGTATTTTTTAACATCCATCATGGACAATTTAAGATTTTTGTCATGTTCTGTTTGATCTTTCCTGCAAATAATTACATTATTGATATAAGCATAGGTGCCTTGCAGGTTCTCTTTTGATATTATCTGGTCTATCACTTGTTAAAAAACTCACTACCCCATTAGTTACACCAAACAGTATTCTGCCAAAAGAGTTTAATGCTGGCCTCAAAAAGGCATATAATGTTTATTTCTGGGCCTTATAGTTACCTGATGGTAAGCACTTTAAAGTTCCCAAATACTAAATAGACAGTTTTTGGCTATTTTCTCTATCATATCATCTATTCTTGGCAGAGTGTAGGCATCCAGCAAAAATAAAATAAACTAGTTTATTGTTTGGGAATTGTCGATTACCATTTGTTTTTTTTTTATGTTCTCAGAGGAGACTATGAAGGATTGGGCTCTCTACAGCAAATGGTTGGGTTCAGTTATTCCTTCCTTCAACACAACAAGTAATTTCAGTTTGAATAAATAATTTACTCTCCTCCATGTGTTGCCTAGATTTAGTAGCTATCAGTTTACAATCCAGTGTTAAATTGTTGAATAGAGCTGTTAGTCTGCAGACATTAAAGGGTAGCTTAGAGCCTCTGAAGGGTATTTCTACTAATGAATGTTGGGGTAAGAAGTTATGCCCTAATATTAGGTCACAGCTAAACAGTATCCAAGTATTTGTATGAAAAGAGATTAGCTAGCCAACACCACTTTGTTTAGGCACGGGTAAATTTTCCACAAATTTAGTTTTACAATGTTTGTCTTTCCATATAATGTGCATGAGCATTTTTATATTTTCATGTTTAAAATAATATTTGTCTTGGTTAAGTGTAAGTTTATACTTTTTAACAGCCGCCATGAATAATTTAAGATTTTTGTCATGTTCTGTTTGATCTTTCCTACAAATAATTACATTATAGATGTAAGCATAGGTGCCTTGCAGGTTCTCTTTGATATTATCTGGTCTATCACTCTTTGAAAACCAGCTACACTGTTATTCACACCAAACGGTATTCTACAAAATTGATAGAGTTTGCCGCTGGTTTTGAACACTGTATATGGTTTATCACTGGGCCTTATGGCTACTTAATGGTAGGCACTTTTAAGGTCCAGTGTACTAAATAGAACGTTTTGGGTTATTTTCTCTATCAAATCATCTATTCTTGGCAGAGTGTAGGAGTCCAGCAAAATAAACCAGTTTATTGTTTAGGGATAGTCAATTACCATTCACTTTTTCCTGTTCTCAGTGGAGACTACAAAGGTTTGGGCTCTTCACAACAAATGGCTGGGTTTGATTATTCCTTCCTTCAATATATGAGTAACTTCAGTTTGGATAAATAATTTATTCTCCTCAGTGCTTTGCTGATACTGAAGAAAATGAACGTTCCTTACTTAGTTTTATCAAGGCTTGATAAAATCTGTCAACAGAATTTGTGGGCAGTTGATGCCTTCTAGTCAGTAAATATCTAGAGACCATTTCATTTTTCTTTTTAATGTAGATCGTGTCCAGTGCTGTTAAAGCCTCTTCATAGGAAGATGCATCTGCTAAATACTTGTAAACATGTACTGAGACATATTTGGTAAGATAGTGTAGCTTATTAGAACTTTGGTCGCAGTATGCACTGAAGAAGTTCATGAAAGTTACTCCCCAGTGACAATATTCCACTTTGGCATCACATATGTTGAGGTCAATAATAAGTTTCTCTGGACAGAGTAAATTAGCCATTATCAAAATGGTTAACAATGAGAGTTAATTAAATTGTAGTAGAATTGTTCAAGACAACACATATCACTTATCAGTAAGTTTTAATAAACTCTGTATATCAGCAGAGTTCTCCTGAATATGTGTGTTCAGGACAGATAATGAGGGAGATGAATCATACCACACTATCAGTCTAAAATACCAGAATTCAATCAAATAAATCTTGCATAATATGTAGATAACACCCATTCTTGATAATGACTGTGATAGTTAAAAGGACTTGAATATATTAAAAAAAAACATGAAACTTGTCCAGTTTTTTCACAGCTTTAATCCTGATGTACAATAACACATTCAGAAATTAGAAAGATATAATAAAAGGTCAAATAGATAGACCTTGTCAGTGGAACTTAATAAAACTTATTTGAATGGATTCTGGCTTCCTAAAGACACCTCTCTCTCTCTATCTATCTATCTATCTATCTATCTATCTATCTATATATATGTGTGTGTGTGTGTGTGTGTGCATATATATATATATATATATACACACACACACATATATATATATATATACACATATATAAAAATATAAATATACATATATATATATACACATATATATAAATATACATATATGCATACACACACACACACACACACACACATATATATATATATATATATATATAATGTAAGTGAGAGAGAGTTAATTTCAGAATGTTTTGCCAGGGGATAGTTACCAAAGTTAAGTATATAACTGAAGAATCATCTTTGATTTGTTCTCAGGAATCTGACAATATAGATTAAAGTGTATATTTCCCTTGTCAAGTTTATAACCCCAAACTTTCTCTACATGTTACCCTTGTCTTCATTTTTCCTTGCTATTTGTAAAAAATTTTTTTTTTTATTTTCCCATGTAATCTTTTGTTCTTTTTATTAAATGTGAATTCCCTCTGTAGTAGAATTGTTCAAGACAATACGTATTGCTTATCAGTAAGCTTTAATATATTCAGTATTTATCCAAGCTCCGCACAAAGCAGGATGTGGCACAAGGCCGGTTTAATATGGGGCTTTCCTAGCACATATGCTCAGGCAACAATTCCCCATAGACTACATATACACGGGCTTGGGTAGCTGTCTACCATCCCAGATAAGACTCTGCCCTTTGGCAGAGCCTCATTAGGGTTCCTTTCTGCCCAGAGGTAGAGAGGTCAACAAACAGAGCCAGGCAGCAGACCACCTGACTCTTTTGGGCTTTAATATACTCTGCATATCAGCAGAGTTCTCCTGAATATATGTGCTTAAGATAGATCCATTAATGGGGAGATGGATCATACCATACCCCCCACACATGGAAAATTAAATAAGAAGTAAACTGAGGTAATTACGATTAACTGCAACAAGAAAAAAATGTATAAATTCAGTTTCATACATTATGGTTTTATTAAAATTCTAAAGTACCTTTTTAAAAACTATAAAAATTGCTATGGAATGTATTTTTTTAAGTCTGAAATATTTTCATATAGTTATGATTAATTATAACTTAATAATCTTGTAGGTAAATAAATTAATAAATAATGTTTAATATTCTTATTATTAATTCTCAAGAAAAAATGAATAAATTCAGTTTCATATGTTACAGTTTTATTAAAATTGTAAGAATAACTGTTTAAAATACAGTAACAGAGTTATTAAGAGAAAAATGTCCTTTTAACAGAGACAGTTTTTTCTTTTCATTTTTTGCCAGGTTTAAGCTTTGCAATGAGTTTTGTATTATTGGGTGCTTTCTCTTAATGGTCATGTGACAAAGTTAAGATTGTCCGACAAACATACCTTCAGAATAAATCTAAATCAGTTGAAAAAAATATCTATAAGAGATTTTCTGCTTACATTAGAAACTGGAATCTGAGAGGAAGACAAGCTCAAATAGATGGCAATTAAGGATTTCTCTTTCTATTTACAGTGGGTATCAAAAAGTCCTCACTTTCCTTATTTGTTTCTTACTGTGGTTGATATCGCAATGAAAAAGACATCTTTCAAGAATCCTTCTTATTTTCTTCTTCCAAAATGTCTGCTTATTTTTTCCTGTACATATTCAATTGCAGTCTTTTTGTCTGTGTGTCTACAGGCTGTTCGTGCATTCAGCAAAGCTGTTCATCTCAACCCAACAGTACAAGAATTGTGGAAGGAAGACTTACAGTGGGCTTGCACACTTCTGGAGCAAAAGAAGCACATAACGGCTGAACTGGAAGAAAGTACTCTGACCAACAGTGCCACAATTAAGGAACTGGACACTGAGAGTCGAACAGATGATGCCGAGGAATATATAGAGGACGTGGTCAGCCAAGACAAAGACTCAGACGATGAAAATGCACTTGCTGATGACAAATATGACACTTACAGACAACAGAAACTGGTCAGCCTTCGAAATTCTGACCAGTCTCTTACACCAAAGACAGAAACTGTAAAAGTACATGAGGAATTGTCTCCACCGCACCAGACTTCCCAGGTGAAAAAAACTGTTAAATCGCTGCCTACAAATTATGTTCTGATGCGGTAATGGCATTTCTTAGTTTTCTTCTCATGTTTTCATTTTACCTACCAGACTGAAATAAACTTGTATCAAGTAGACACCATCATAATCATCAAATCAGTTCCAATGCATTTATATTGTGCATTTCATTAAAATCAAATATTACATCATTTTTTAAATTTGAATCTTTTTCAAAGTTTTTTTTTACTTATATTAAAAAGTTTACTTACAAAACAATTCATTCTATCAAACCAAATATGCTTTTTAAAAAAAAAAATAGCAACTGAAATGCATATGTGCAGTTGATTGAAATTCCAATTCAAAATAACCTAAAATTCAGTTGAACATGCAAATCAACTCATTTTGTTTCTAATTTCTACTGTCTTTTATTAAATCAGATTTAAGGTATGTTATTATAAACGTTTTTGTCTCCATTGAAAGTGATTCTATTATGACAGGCTAAATTTGTATAACAGACAGACATCACTCTTTGTTTTCTCTATCTTCTTTTATTTACCTTTTTGTTAGAGATTTAACCAAATCTTGGAATTAGTTTGAAGAGCCTAAAAACCACTCAAAATATAAAAGGGGATTTTACTTTTCATCAAATCTGTTTGAAAAAAAACAAATTATTGCCAAAATTCACAAATACAAATCAAATGAAGAAAAGCAGCAACATGTTAGCAAGTAAATTTTCAACATCATTTCTTTTGGATCATCAACATACAAGGGTATGAGAAATGGCGAGAGCAGTTTAGATCAAATTGTCAAAAGGGTTGCATCAAGTGTGAAGGATCTAGATATGCAATGCATGCACTGAATGCCTTACTTTTTGTCCAGGATAAATAATTTTGGTGTAATATAAAATTAATTATTGATAATTTTCATTATCCTTATTCAACTCATGATATTTGTGTATTTCTCATTCCTTCATTTCTGAGGATAATCTGTAAACAAGCAATATTATTTAAGAAGTATAAGTAGAAAAGGCTCATGTTTGCTTAATGATAAAAAAGAAAAAACAGTAAATTAATTGCTTCCCTGTTGTATTCCCTGTTGAACAGGGAGCATGAAAGAAAAAACAAGAATGAAACATCAAAGTGAGAAAAGCAGGACTTTTGTTGCTTACCATCCACCCATATTAAGCCAGAGGGCACACTCTCAACATATTTGTTCCTGAAGCACTGATCTTTTCATTGCCCCATGCAGCTGAGATCAAAAACTTGCCTCTTTTAAGGACTTAAAGTTATCACCACAGTTGGACAGATTTAGACAAGAAATGGGTATTTAGTCAATTTGAAAATTTGTTTTATTGCTGGTTCTGGTTTATTTCTTGCAACATTACTGAAAAGTATATACAGAACATCTGGTGACCCTAATGTCACATCAAAAGCTACTTTTTTACTGCCTTTTAAAAAGATTTTAACCCATAGAGAGTATTCTTGACCCCTTCTTAAAAACCGGATTCAGTCATGTGATCACAACCCAGAATTTTCTTCTTGATCAGTTCACACTTGGAATGAAAAGGAGCAACCAGCAAAGTTTGTTTTATAATTAAAAAGGTAAAGTTTTCATCCATTTATCCATTCCAATGAATTTAAAATTTAATTTTAAATATCTAAAATTATTTTTAAAAACAGTTGCATAAAAAGTAAACTAGCACTTAAATGTTATGTTAGAATAAAGCTTCATGTCATTCAAAAAAAAAAATAACCCAGTAATATTTTTCACATTTTCACTCAGCCAGAGGATAGCCAAAAAAATCAATTAGCTGAGTTTCCGCTTTACTTTCTTGACTTTTTACAAGAAGAAATTTTGGAAAGAAGAAGAATATTATCATTGTCTAGGGAGAGAGAAACCAAAAAACTGAAAATCCAAACCAAAAATGGGCAGCAAGGAATGGTATCGTTATTTTGATTCTAATATTATGAACAATATAAGTGGATGATGGGATGTCCTATTCTGAAAAAAAATGTTGTTTCCCATGTCCATTATTTTGTCAACATAAGAACAGATGAGCAACTACTGATTACTACAATTTGATTACAGCTTTGACAAGATGCAGAAAATCTAAGAACCATTTGAATTCCATAATTACTCTGAAAGCCTTTGGCCAACAATGAATTGATACAATGATCAATCACTGGAAAGCAGTTTTGATGCTGTTTCATAATAGATCAGTCAAGAAAAATTGTTAAAAGGTTAGTTCATCATATTGAAATTTTGGCCTGTCAAGAATTACCATTTTTGAGGACATGATGAAAAAGAAGAATCAAACAATAAGGGTCATTTTCTGGGAAGCAGTATCAGAATTCGATGATTGTTTAAGATCACATTTAGATTTTGCAAAGAAAAATGGAAACTATATATTTTCTAGAGATATTCAAAACAAGATCATTGATTGTATAGTTATTACAATTGAAGATGAAATTAATGCAATGATCAAAAAAGATATCATCTGTTGCTGTTATGTTTGATGAGATGATCAATCTACAAATGAAATCTCAGTTGTCATGCATATTACAATTTGTTGATGACTTTTTAACAGCATTTTGGATGACGTTGTTGTTCACACTGAGCAAATATTTAAAACAATGGCAGAGTTCAGTTTTTTTGAATTGTTGAATCCAAAGCTTTATGCTTCACACTTACAAAAACAATTTCCAATGGAAGCATTTTCATCTTTGGGTGTCTAGAAAAATATTTCATTATTTATAGGTTTTATTATTTTCTTAAATTTCTCTTATAACCAATAATGGTAATCAAGGCAGTTTCATCGCCAGGATATTATTAATGGGAAGAAAAGAGTATCAAGCCTGAAGTGTTGTCTGTTAGTAAGAGTGCATTTTCTCACATTAAAATTAGTTCATATCACATTCACAGGTGGAGGGAGAATAATTCTCCGGTGTGGGAGTAAGGCACCATTGCTGCACTCTCCGCCTTGTATTAATTGTATTGAAATTTTGGACTGTCAAAGATTACTATTTCGTGGACATGATGAAACTAAAGAATCAAACAATAATGTTCATTTTCTGGCAATATGTAAAGCAGTAGCAGAATACAGCGTTTATTTAAGATCGCATTTGAAGAAAAATGCCAACCCCAAATTTTCTGGACAGTCAAGAGATATTCAAAATGAGATCATTGATTGTATGTCTGATACAAATGAAGGTGAAATTTCAGCAATGATAAAAAAAAAATCATTTGTTGCTGTTATGTTTGATGAGATGATCGATCTTCAAATGAAATCTCAGATATCATGCATATTGCAATTTGTTGATGAGAAGGAAAAGTTTCAAAACTTTTGAGGACATGTGCTGATGTCAATATAGAAGAGCAGCATCACTGACAAATTCACTCCACAGACTTATAATAGAGCAGGTATAATTGCTTGGTATTTGAATGGAGTGCAAGCAAGGATAAAGTAGTTTTTCATTGCAAATGTCAATATTTGTATGTTGCTATGCACAATCTCTTAATTTGGTATTCTCTCAATCAGCTTCACATATTCGTGAATGTCAAATTTTTCTGCTAAACTTTAAAAGGAATTTCAACTTTTTCTCTCAAAATCAGTGGCTCAAATAGATAAAATTTGGATGAAATCAAAGCGTTTTCATCTTTGGATGTCTATAAAAATATCTCATTATTTATAGGTTTTATTATTTTCTTAAATTTCTCTCATAACCAATAATGGTAATCATGGCAGTTCCGTTGCCAGGGTATTATTAATGGGAAGAGATGGATATCAAGCCCGAAGCGTTGCCTGTTGGTAAGAGTGCATTTTCTCACATTAAAATTAGTTCATATCACAGATGGAGGGGAGAATAATTTCCTGGGGTGGGAGTAAGGCTCAATTGCCCCACTCTCTGTCTTGGCGATTGGCCTGCATCATGGACTGCATGTCCTGGTTTCCAATTCACACTTTGCCACTGGAAAAATTCAACAGTACATAGGATTCACCACAAGCTATCATTTTATAAAAAAAGATGAAGATTGCAGTTGTTTCATATTCGATAATGCAGAATGTCGTCTCGGTTTTCCAATCAAAGTTCACATTCACCATTTATCATTTTGACATTCTAATTTGGTCAGTTAATTTCATGAAATTGCTTTTGGGTCAAGATTTCATGTAATCTTTACAATTTTACTGATTACAACAATTGTAACAATATTATGAAGCTGTAGATTTTAGAAACTGGCAAAGATTCAGTAAAGTCAACCTTTTTAGAAAAGAAAGTTGAAAAATGATTGCTTGGTATTTGAATGGAGTGCAAGCAAGGATAAAGTAGTTTTTGGTGCAAACGTCATATTTGTATGTTGTTATGCACATCCACTTAATTTGGTATTCTCTCAATCAGTCAATGGCTCAAATAGATAAAATTTGGATGAAATCATTGGAACGTGATTTCTAAAGTTACCTGAAACATTGGAATTATTCATCTTGACAAGTATCCATTTCATTGGACAAAATTATTGTGTTTTCTGAACCATTTCCAACCATATTACAAAATCCAGAAGATTGAAGTGTATCAGAATTAGCACAGGTAGAGGAACTTGCAAATCAACAAAATTTTTAGTTTAAATTTTTATTAGTGGCTTTTGAAACCATTTTGTGTGTCTCTGAGATACTTTTTACAATTCTTCCAAAAATTTCACTTGATATTTCAAGATATGTTTTGTGAGGTTGTGACCTTCAAAAGTACATTTTATAGCAAAGGGATCAACAAATTTGCCAAAAAGAAACAAAGAATTTAACTGATTTACAAATAAATTTTAAATATCTCATTATTTGTAGGTTTTACTATTTTCTCAGATTTCTCTCGTAATCAATAACAGTCATCATAGCAGGCTCATTGCCAGGGTATTACTAATGGTGAGACATCAAGTCCAGTATAATGGGCTGTCAAGCCCAAAGTATGGCCTGTTTATAGAAGTGCACTTTCTCATATTAAAATTAGTTCATATCACATTCACAGATGTAAGGGCAAATAAGAAAGGTAACATTCCAATACCCCATCTCTCC